GGAGAGAGAGAGAGAGGGAGAGAGAGACAGAGAGGGAGGGAGAGACAGAGAGGGAGGGAGAGACAGAGAGGGAGGGAGAGACAGAAATTTCCCTTGAGGACAATTAGCTTTTTTTTACCTTAAAGTAGATAGCACAGAAAACACGATCAAACAAATGTTATCAGTCTCAGCCTGGTTCTGTCTAGTCTAAGGTAAGAAAACACCATATTCAAGGTAACTGCTCCAGTATTACTCAATCATGACGGACATAACTATAACAAAAAGGGTGCTGTTGCTAACTATTTAAAAATAGCATAAAAAAGATATTTTTCTTGTAGCTGGGACATGATAATGAACTTTTATCTTTTCCGAGCGGTTTTTTTTTGGTCAATTGATCGAGTATCCAATAAAATTTAAAATATGAAGCATCGGCCGAAATAGTAAAAAAAAACAGGATGGTTTTATAACTAAAAAGTCTACAGACCTTTGAAAAATCCATAGGCAGCCACGAAAAAGAAGGGAAGCTGCACGAGGAATTCACAGCCGACAAACGCCTGGAACCACGTGGGGGGATCCACCATCATTGGGTCTCGGAAGTGCAGACAGTACCAATCCTTCAGTTCAACTGTCTGAAAGCAATAGAAAATTATATTTTCATACAATAAATGAATATATCACAGTCAAACCCCGTATACTGCCTACCTATGGACAAAGATGAAGTAGTTAGTACAGTGGGCCTGGCGGTATTATAACTGGATGGCACAGTTTGCCATCTTGACTCTTGGTAGACTGGTAGAGACGAGGGACAAGTTGTGGTCAGTCTTGTCTCATCTAGATCTAGATCTAGATCTATTTTGTGCGAATGCCATCATGCGCAGCGAAAAAACAAGAACAGCAACCATTTACACGTGCAGCTCCAGCTGAACTTTTTTTTATGTCAATTCAAATTGAAAACTTCTGCCGGATCATTAAGCTATTTATTTTATAACATAATATATATATAGAAATCTATATATGTGTCAATGATCCTTAATGAAGTGTGGTTTGGAGAAGCAGACCATACAGAGCGTGTAAACAGTAGGCCTATATTTATATCAGTATAGCAAACAAGTTTAAACATATTGTTACAAGCACAGTAGGCCTACTCAACTGAGTGGCAACCCACTGTCAGTGTCACTGACTCCAAACTGTTGGGGAAACAACTCAATTTGAGCTTCCACTTCTCTTCAGTCTAAACTTACCTTTTGTGGGAAGTACTTCTGAGGCAGCAAAGCTTGAAGATCAATAAATATAGTAATTGGGATGTGCGTGAAGAAATAGAAGAAAAACAAAATGTCCAGCAAACGTGGCATTGTGATTGATGTTTCAAAACCGTTGATATACTAAAGAAAAGGTCTCGTTCTGTCACTGTCTTCCTCAACGCAGTGGCTTCTGTGATTCTGTGGGCTGTTCTGTCTGCTACTTTCGCTTTCTCAACAGGCACTATTGCCAGAGTTCTGGCAAGACTAGAGTGTAACAGCCAAATTTCCCTTTTAAAAAAATCAGTTGTTGATCATTAATGTGAAATGTGAGATGATGACAAGGTGCATTAAGTAAAAACATATCTTTAAAAAACCCACATTCATTCACCCTCATAAGTAATTCGACTATTTCTTAAAGAATACATATACTGAGCGGGTGCCAGATTATCGGGATTGGAATATTCCACAGACTATTTATACAGATGTGCCATAGGCTTACTAAAAAGTCTGTATTCAGTAAATTGTAAAGCAAAAAAATTCAGTGCTAACTGTTATTAATTAGTGAATTCTAGTAAATATAATTAAAAGAGTCTGCACTTGGTATGCATGTGAAATCTGGGTGTTTCTGATTCTACTTCTTCATAATTACATGTATATCAAATTACCGAGTGGAGTGATCCAATTGAACCAATGTCTCGCTGTGAACATGTTACTAGGTAACATGATCGATGCAGTAAAGGCCAAGCTGGCAAATGAACCGGTGTCGAGTTTGTGTCTATTGGCCTAGTTTTAATTTATCAGTTTGTTTGCATGGGCACTTCCACGCTGTCTTTGTCCTAGTTAACAATGCGGCTTCATTTAACGAGGCCTACGCCCCCAGGTCATAACCTGTTTGTTTGGCTGTCTGTGGTTGAGAAAGTGCGCGTGGCGACGAGCTGTGCCAGATGAGCAACGAATAAGTCCCGCCCCGCCCCCTCCCATCTATACTATACTCAAACGAAAAATAAATAAATAAATAAATAAATAAATAAATAAATAAATAAACAGATACATAAATAAATAAATAAACAAATAAACATAGACCGGTCAAAAAGAGAGGGGCCTATGGAATATGCTATGAAGGAACGAACGATTCTCTTTATACTAATTCCACACGCATATAATTTCTGCATATATTGCATTTTAATTGTTAGTATCTGGGGAGGGACATATTATATTGCTGTAGGCCTAAATAATTACGATCATCGTACGTCTTTCTTGCCGAATTGTTGCAAACCAGGGGTCTGGCAATGAGGCCTATAATATAACCTTGAAGTCCGGTCAAATACAGTAAATTACTTATATTATGTGTAGTATATTTATGTGGGCTCGCTTAGGCCTATTATAATGTTCACACTACATGTATAGTAGATCAGAGAGGGTGGCCTTTAGTCTATAGGCTCTCGATCGGACTCGCAACCTTAAGGTCGTGGGTTCGAATCCCGTCTTGGGCCCGACGTTGTGTCCTTGGGAAAGGCACTTTGCACAAATTTTCCTCACTTCACCCAGGTGGAAATGGGTACCCGGCTATAGGCAGTGAACGATCCTGTCTGTTTGATAGTGTAATTGAGCGCGTGAAATCCGCAGCTTGCACTGTATGCTTCCGCGGAAGCCGAGAATGTTTCAGAGTGTTCTCAGAAATCTACAGGGGTAATAATGGTTGTAAAGCTCTTGAGCATGGATATGCGCTATATAAATGCAATGATGATGATGATGATGATGATGATGATGATGATGATGATGATGATGATGATGATGATGTCATCATCATCATCATCATCATCATCATCATCATCATCATCATCATTATTATTATTATTATTATTATTATTATAATATATGACGCATCTCTAACCCTACACTTAGTACCCATATTGCAACAAACAGTTTCGTCAAATTGCTCTTTCAGGTGGTTTGAAACACTTGCGGTTGGTGCTGGCGAGTTATTCCCATATATATACTTGATCTGCACGGTCTTTGTTGGATCAAATCATAATTCATATTGACTCATAGGCTAAGACCATTTTCCTGTTCTATAATTTATTGTCCTAACATTCTGTGTTCTTACATAACAACACGGGATTACCAAGATACTAGACAGGCCTACGGATAAGACAAGAACCTTGGAATGCATCTATTTATAGCCTCCTTGGGATAAGGGCTGCAGAGGTGCTCTGGTTAAGTTCATGAACCCGAGCCCAAATGACGGGATATTAATTCCAAAGTGAAGAATATAATCAACAATATTCAGAGCAGGCCTATCTAACAAATTAATTATAGTTGTTCTGTCTGTCTCCTGAAATGCAAAGTTGGTAACGCTGACAGCTTATAGAAGCAGCCCACATATGTAAACTGTGCAAAGTGCGGATAGTTGCTCTACGAACTGCTTCTTTTGAATGACAGAAATACGATTAATAATACTGTTTTTAATTCTGAATTTTTACCGTTAATGTTTTACTTTAACCATTCCAACTTTCCAAATTACTCCAAGCCGTGCTGTGAACTAACATAAAAACAATAAACTTGAATCTTGCGCTCTCAGTTGACCTCATTGTGCAGTTTGGATCGCCGTAAAATCCATGCCAAAACTCTGTTCTAAGCTGTCCAGTACACTTTTTATAAAAATGTTTAGTCTTTTACTTTTGAGCTTGTTGAAGGGAAATAGCTGTGCTGTGTTTAACAATGTTACCGAGTTATTTCCACGATCATCTCCCCTTCCTTTCGACAATTTTTTTTTAGATCAAAGTGGGAGGGAATGTGGTCGCTCTTAAGGACACGCTAACCCAGATTTCGGGGGTTTCCAGAAATCTAAAATAGAGCGCATTTGTATAGCACAAATCCCCGCTCAACAGCAAGCTCTATGCGCTTCACAATCCATACTATTACCCAAGAAGACCTGAGAGCATTCTGAAAGAAACTCAACTTCTTGGGAAGCGTACAGTGCAGCCATTTATAGGCGCTAAAACACTATCATACTGACAAGATCTTTCACTGTATATGGCCGGGTACCCATTCTCACCTGGGTGAAGTGAGGAAAATTCGTATAAAGTGCGTTTCCCAAGGACACAACGTCGGGCGCGACTTTTTTAAAATTACATTTTCATTGTCATCGTCATCTTCATCATTAGCATCACTATATTATAATACCCATTTATAACTGTCTGTAGTTTCAGCACTATTTAACTAGCAGTTCTTGGCTAATTCCCTGGTGCTATTTTGCGATAGAGAACCCGGCAAACGGAAGATAAGATCAGATAAGATAGGTCTACATTTTTATTGTCCAGATCCTGGCACATTGGTTTGGTGTCTCACCAAGTACACACACGCGCGCGCGCGTGCGCACGCACACACACACACACACACACACACACACACACACACACACACACTCACTCACTCACTCA